GCGTCCTCATATTGGTCCCCATCTGGCTGGTGGCAAGACTAGGGAAGCACCAATGAGGAATGAGGTGCTGTCTTACCCCGCCCACACGACCAGCGTGAAATGTCCTTTGATCAACGCCCCTGTTCCTAGATTTTCTCTGTCTGAAGACGATGCACAAGGCGACAATTTATCGAAGAAAATTTTGCAGTATCAGCGTGTATACGAAATTTTCTGTTTTGGCGAGGTTATGACTAATTTCCTTTGACGAACACCTCAAATGCTTCTAGACCCAAGAGTCCGACGGCGAGCCCAATTTCCGTTAGGCATGTAATTCTCCATAGAAATCGAATGAGACCATAATGTTGATGTACACAGGCGAATATCAGAACGCTCAACACGGTCGGAGTGAACAAGGCTGAAATGGGGACAATTGTAGGTCCGCATCAGGTCATTCTTGTGCCGGTGGCTTACCTATTGAGTACTGTATTTTTACCGTATTTTCAGGTTCACGCATTAGTTGACGTAGGTCAAAGCGACCATCGATGTTATAGTACCTGGAATTGGTACGTTTGTCAGCTTTCACATTTCAACCCATTCAGCTACCACGTGTGACGGGTATTGATTTTACGCGCGCGCTACCGTGATTTACCCTGCATCACATGCAAACCGTTAGGCATTACTTGATCGGAAGTCACTTGTAGAAATACGAACATAGTAGAGATACACACCACCTCCTACCCCCATTATCGGTTCCCGCGCTCAGGCCGACTTTGCACCTTCCGGGGGCGGGATTTTGGTAGCAGATCCGCTTGGGGGTTTGGAAGCACCGATTAGGCGCTGTTTAGCGACGGGGGGCATTTGTACGGTATACATTGCTTCCCCTTGTTCCGGGTTACAAATTCCAACCATGCGTAAAACTTGTGAACGCCTGTGAAGCTGGAGTAAGATCGTCTAGCCACCATCCTAAAACGTGTCAACTCGAGAAAAGGCTACCTAGATGGGTTGGCAATCTATGAAAAGCAGAATGCCCCCCCGCCCCCCGTCGACAAACTGCGCCGACCGATTATACAGTCGGCTGATTCCCCGCCCAGGGTTGTTAGTTGTATCGTGGGATGGCACGCTGTCATATGTGCTACTGCGCGACGGATATTGATTTTACGCGCGTGCAATCGATTTCCATTGACCTTTCACACTTGTGGTGAACGATGAGCTGTGATATCATTCCCCATCTTCAGCTCTTCGCTGTCGCTGTCTTTTTATTTGAAGTACTTTCTCACCAGTAAATACTCAGCCTATCTTCGAGATGGCATGGTATACATGACGCAGGCGGAATGTTGTAGTATACGAAGGCCGAACAATGCTAATTGCAACCGCGATTCAGTGTAGATCATTTGAAAAATCTGGGTGAGCGAGGCAGCTATGCGGTCAATCGCTCCGACTTCGAGGGCACGTTTCAGACATTCGCCCCCCGATGATCTGGCGTCATCGAAGTCTGAACATTGCCTCTAGCGAACGGTGTTCGTCTAGTATGCCTCAAGCTCGAAATGATACCTCGTGCCTCGTGCCCTTTCGACATCGCGTGACCACAGCTCGCTTTCGTTGTAATGTTGTTTCTAAAGATTAAAACTTACTTGTATTAGACAACAACAAAACTGAAGTGCCCTCGATATTCCAGCAATGAAAGGAAAATCGTAATTTTTGGTAAAATCTTTCCAGTCCTGAAAGATTCAACTCAACAGCTATAGCCCTTATCCCTGTCAGACGAGGCGTGTCAGCGGGGCAAGAGTTTGGCGCTGCGCCAGTACATTTCCCATCGATTATTGCGGCTTCAGCCTATCGGAGAGTGCGGGGAAAGGAGCAGCGCTGCGCCAAAACCCAGGCGTCGCTGACACGCCTCGACTGACATCTGAGATAACGGCTGTAAGTCTACTTGTAGTCGCTTCTGCTCACCCAGTCGTTTTTGCGCACCGACATGGAGGAGGTATGGCACTGCCAACTCAAGTAGCTATCACCTAGAATGAACCAGTTGTGGATTAAAATGAACCTAACTCATTGAGATCCTTTGTTATCGTTCCTATATCACACCTGATATGAACCCACCTGCTATATGGAGAGGAGAATTAGGTCTCATTTCAGCTACTCGGCAACTTCTCGATTGTGATGGTTGGTTCTGCGGAACGGTTTCGCTGAATCTCCGAGTCGTATATTCGCTAGAGGGTCTTTTTCAGGCAACATATAGCTATCCTACTCTCGTCTATAACTGTAGATCTGCCCAACTTGGCTGTGTGTCAATCCAAGTACGTTCTTTACTACCGTTATTTCACTGTACGCACACGTCGACATATTGAAGAGCGATCAGAAATGTGACGACTGGCTGGTTAAGATCCAGTGTTAGTGCTGAAAGACCTGGAAAGGGAGGGGCGGACACAGACGGGGAAAAGGTCACAGTCGTGTTCTCCTCGTCTGTGTCCTCTCAACGAGATAGTGTTCGAGGCGAGTAGAGAAGGAGCTTGGACGAGTTTTCCCTTCTGCCCCTACCACAGCTATGTGCGCCGATGACTATTTGGAAGATTTTCAGATCCTTGTGCTTTATTCTAATGCCGACTCTTTGGGAACATTCACGTTTGTGTTCACGGTTGCACTTTGCCTTTACAATCTCTATGTGATCGGAAAGCGATGGTAAGGCATGGTAAACGTTACAATGGCCGTTCAGGATGCCCCCATAAATGGCCACAGGCGAGTAGGCGCCTTCGAATCGGAGACTCAACAATCATCGTGATTTCCGCGTCTCGCGTGCGAACATCTTGCGGCCAACCGCGCAAGCTCTTCGTAGTCGATCGTTATCTTTGCCAGCGTAGCTCATATAAATTCGCAGAGCCACTAGACTCCACTCTTTATATTTCGAATTCTCTCGTCCCTTCCAAAATTTTCTTCGCTCAAAGAGCAGCAAAATATTCTATTTTCTCTCTATCTCTGTGCGACATCGCTCTCACCACGCACCCACCAATCCAGCACGATTGTCTTGTCACATCCCCCTCAATATATATATTATCTCTTCATCATTTGCACATGCCCTTTTGGCGATTAGTCTGAAGAGAACACTACCCACTTGGAAGCGATATCAATCAAAAACCAGCTAATTATTTCATTTTCTCATATCGCCAAAGGTGGATTAATTCTAGAGATACGAGGATAAACGCAGCTCAGACATCAACCAGAGCTCCGGCTTGATCTACGGCAGTGACACGCTTCTCTCATTGCAATGGTGCTCCAGCGCTATACAGGGAACGCAGCCGTAGCGCGTATCGATCGACGCCGCTCGCTAGTTGAGGAAGTGTAGAGGAATAGGAGGGTACCAGACTTGTGATTAGGCAACGCGGTACGCTCCCATTTACCTAGACACTCTCGAAACACTAGCGGCCGGCGCCGATCAGTATCCATCTGTGGCTGCATTCCCGTCTATAGCATTGGTGCGATATGGCAAGGGTAGCGACGATGATTGACCGTAATCATTCACACGTGACGCGCGTCATCATGTGTGAATGATTACGGCCAATCAATATTTACCAGGTACAACAATATTGATGGACGTTTTGATATGCGGCAAATGGTAAGAGAACCGGACACTCCAGTTAAAGGTGTTATATGCTGCAGGTAATTTTCTCAAGCTGCCCAATCGATTATCGATCGATCTAATCTACTCTGATTTTTATTGCAGAAGTGTTCACACCAGCCGTAATCGGTCTGTTAGTATTCACGTTGGTACATTTTCCCGGTGGTAACTTCCTATGGACTATGGCATGTTGTGTTCAAATTTCGGCAGCCTTAATATTAATCTTCGCTGAAGTTTACGAAGTTTTCGTCAAAGGTTATTAAGTCGGCAAGATAGAATAAAGATGTTCTTATCTGTACTATGTAGCTTATTCAGGCGCAGTTCGGCGACGGGGGGGGGGCATTTTGCACTTTCGTTGCTTCACTAGTTCCGGTTTACAAGTCTCACTCTGGTGAAACCTGTGAACTCTTGTGAAGCTGGAGCAAGCTCGTCAAGCCATCATGGTAAACCTGTCAACTCGAGAAGAGGCTGTCTAGATGGGTCGACACGTCGATGGGAAGCAGCAAAAGTGCAAAATCCCTCCCCCCCCGTCGCCAAACTGTGCCGCTTATTCACATGGATTAACAAAGGAGCACTCAGTAAGAAAATAGCGAGATAGGAGTCTCGGCGCAAGTGTAGCAGAGCTCCGCAGTTCAACATGCTACGTAATTCGGATGCTCCACTGATGGTCATGCACCGATCTCTGCAAACCATAGGGCGGGTTGTGCATGAGCTCATGCATGAGCTTCATCGCTAAGAGAACAGCTTTTTTCG